TCTCCTGCACTTTGGTTTCCTGATGCACCTCCATTAAATGTCACAAACTCTTCCACAATCATTTGGACAAGCAAAGAACACTACAAAATTCTTTTATGGAGCAACAGCTTCCTTGTTTAAAAAACATTTATAAGCCTGATAATAAAAATAATAAATGCTAGCATGTGGAAACAATAGAAACACTTATTTTTGAGACAGGGTTTCACTCTGAAGTTCAGGATGGCCTTGAACTGACTTTGTAGCTCAGACTGGCCTCAAACTTGCAGTAATCCTCCTGCTTCAGCCTCCTGAGTACAGGGAATACAGGGATGCACCACCAAAACCAGCCAGAAACACTTCAAAGAAAGAACACTTTTTTATCATTTATTTAAGTCATACTTAGCAATTCTGTCCTCTTTTAAATGTCCTTTCTTCAGCCTGTATATTTTGGCTCAAATACTAAGAATGACAGTCATTTGATAACCACTCTAGAACATATGTATATTCTCTTATTTTGATTGAAACCTTTCCTATATATTTTATTGCTTTTATTTAGATAGCCAATTTAAAGTGAAATATTCTAATCAATAGACTATATATTTTTAAGCATGTCATACTTAATGTGTGATCTTATTTTTTGCTTCTGTTGTCAATATATTGTTTGGTTTTTACTATTCTGCCATCTCCATCAACACTAAACTGATACTAATAACTAATCATAATAATAATAATACTAAGACTCTACATCCAGTTAGTATACTATTTGATATTACTAAGGACTCCACATCATTATTCCTTAATGCCCTTATAAAACCCTACAAATATAACAACATACTCCTTTATTTTACAAACTTTATATTCAATAAAATTCTATTTAATTAGTTCAAATTTCAAATATATATTCATACCAAATATTTTAGCCATCTAGGAGGTGGCTAAAAAGATACCCGAAATACTTCTATGAGAATAAGCTTGGTTACTTTCCTAAAACATAGTGCAAGGACCCAAAGTATTTCATGTGCCATCCACAAAACAGATAAGGTATGAAAGAAATCCTGTGTTTAAGGTGGTATTTCGCTAAACTTTTACTTTCATAATGTAGTTATTCTCAGAACAAATACATAAGCCATAGTACTGTTCTTACAACTACAGCAGTATTTCGGGAAATGTTTCATACCATGACAAACTTAAGGAATAATATATAGAGAACTCTTTCCTTTATTAACTGGTGTAACAGGCTCTTCTATGAACAAAAAGAGTTCTAACATTGTATAGTAATGAGTTTACGAATCACTGCATAAGAATTCTTCTGATTTTTTAATGCACAAATATGGTACTGCTCAACACACCAGGTTCCTTATAGCCTAAATACAAATGAACTAGAATTTAAAATTTTATAATAGTAATAATGATGATGATGATGATGATGATGATGATGATGATGATGATGATGATATAATTTGCTGTGATAACCACACAAGGAAATTAAAAAAGAAATTGCATAAAAAGAAAAAATGTACACTTCTCTTTATAGAGACTTGTATTTTCCTACACAGAATTTCACTAAGGAAATGCAGTAAGTTGCATTCAAATTATTTCGGCAAAACTGAAACTTTGCCAACACATGTGACTTGGGATACATACAGCTTTCTGTTAAGAGGGAGAGGGAAGGAGGGAGGGAGGGAGAGAAAGAAAGAGTGAGAGAGTGAATGAGAGAGACAGAGACAGAGACAGACAGACCATTGGATCATTCATGAAATTATACATTCTGAAGGTTGAACAAATAAGAGTTTCTGTACAGGGTCAAATAGGCAACCAATTATATTTGCATGGCAAAATAAGCCAAAGAAAATCTGGTAACATTTTATATAAGGAAAATCTTCAGAACTTTCTTCTACATTTTGACCAATTTTACTTATTCTGTTTCTAACAGTATTACTCTTTAATTTTCCCCTTGAAAATACATTCCAAACTTATACAATATGTTAGCCTTTATTAGAAGTTGTAGCCATAAATTGTCCTGGTTTAGCCAACAAAAAGACAAAAATATTGGCCATTAAGTGTTTATAATTAAAGAAAACACTCATAAAATAGTACAAGTCAATTAAGATTTCTGTTCAAAGGGCCAGGCATGATGGCACACATTTGTAATCCAAGCAACAGGCTGAGACATGGGGATCACTGTGAGTTCCGGGTAGCCTGGGCTATGAAGTAAGTTCAAGACGAGCCTGAAGTGCACAGTGAGATCTTTTCTATCTTTTCAATCAATCAATTCTGTTCAATATGCATTATTCATGACTATTAAGAATTACTCATCAGGGGCTAGGGAAATAGCTTAGCGGAGTAAGTGCTTGCCTGGCAAGCACAAGGTTCTGAGTTTGATCCCTGGTACCACCAAAAAAAATAAAAAATAAAAAATAATAAGAAGAAGAAGAATTAGTCATCAAAAGTAGAGATATTTTATTACCAGGTTAAACATATATGCTATTTCTTCAAAAGGTACCACTTTATAACTTACTCTCATGACAAATTATAACACGCCCTTTCACTTTTAAAAATGTCCTGGATTACAAGATAACCCGTAAGTAAGAGTCAAAAGATCTGATCTGAGTGTTGGTCATTACCAGGCAAAGGCGCCAGTTTTAATTCTCTATGTAATTTTGCTTAATCATATAGAAATCACAAGCATCAAATCAGAAAAGTCAACAAGCTCAAGTACTTGCCTATTGTCTAAGAAAGATGAGTTTAACAAAGTAAATATACAGAGCAAGTTAAAGTTATCAGATATAAAAACTATACTGTCTGGGAAGGGAGGTATTCAAAAACACTCCAGTTAAAAACCATATTATACTATCTACACATACAAAACTATAACAGGCTTAGATCAATGGCCAAGTCAAATTACATGAGTTGTAACCCCTAACATTTACTCTCAGGTATGACAAGAACCAAGTTACTTAACAGAATTACCCTCAGATATGACAAGGACCAACTTATTTAACATTTCTACGCCTCTATTTCCTCCACCTGAAAATAAAGACAGTACTTACCTCACTCTGAAAATCAACAAATAATCCATGTAAAAGATACAAGTACTGTGCCTGCCCACAGGAGCTATATGTTAGCTGTAATTATAAGAGCCTACCAGTAATGTCTCTTCGAAAATCAAGACCTAAAATATTATTTTGATATCAGAAGAAAATTTCAAGTATATGTACATGTGTATGTTTACACACAAATGTGTACCATCCAAGGTAATGTTAGATGACATTGCTAGTACCACATATATTTATGTTAATAATGTAACCTGAGTATAGTACCATGACAGCTAACATAATATATTCAACATCAGACAGTTCTTTTTCTTCAAAAGAAACCACAATGGCATATTGCAGCACATTTAAAAATAAAACCCCGCATTAACAGTATCTGTGGCTGTGCAACTGGAGAACAGAAGAATCACAGATATATCTGATACATTTTTAAGTCCATGTATAGAAATCAAAAGAAAACATTTCCTTTACGGAAATTCATATGAACTAAAACTAAGGCAACATTCAAAAGAAACATTCACATATTCAATATTTCAAAATAAGAAATCTGTATATATGCATAATTTACAGTTGTACAGTGAGGCCATTTTCACTATATTTCAATAGTATCTTAACGATATGTACAATGCAACATTTCTCTAAACTGTTAAAGCTGTAACAGCACATAATAACTCAACACAAGCAAAGACAAAATATACACCATGTTGAGCACATGGCATTCTTTTTACCCAAATGAGTAGTTTATTAAACCACTCAACAACAAGAGCCCTAATAATTAGACTGTGTTATGATAGAAAAAAGAAATGATATTTTTTGGTTAAAAATAGAAACTTTACATGAAACAATTATTAAAGTAAAAGAAACTATATCTCACATTTATAAAGATGTTTGTCCAGTCTGGTTCATTAAAAGAATATAAAGCTTATGACATGCAATAAATGTCATTATGACTAATACAAAAATCTATATAAAACATCATGCTGTCTTCCAAATTCCCATGTAAAAGAGATTTAAACAATGACCATCACAGTCAAATTTGTATCTCAGAGATCCAAATCTAAATTGGAGTTCATTTCTATGACCCTTCCTAAAAATATTCCAGTAGTAAAACAAATTTGCCTCTAAAATAAAACTAAGTTTCCATTATTTATTCTAAAGCAAGAAATATAGGACTGTCCTTTAGATATGTAAAAGACAATATAGGCTGAAGTTTACATGTCCAACCTCAGTTCACTGGTGATAGATTCTATCACTAATCTGTGCAAGATTACATAATAACTATGCCCATAACACACTGACAATTTATCACCTACCTTAACAGGTAAACTTTAAGTTAAACAAAGTGTAACTGAAATTTTACAGCTACTATAAATTACTAACAACAAAAAAACCCATGGACATTCCAATTAATATGCTTTTGCCTTACAGCTAATTCTTTAATTTTAAAGAACCACAAAGAAAGAAAAAAAAAAGCAAAACTAGTCAGTAACAACGCAGCATCTAAAAGCAATAAACTCAAAATTAAGTTATAAATAATTTAAAGCATGTCATGAAGATGTATTAATAATTCATCAGATAAATAATTTACTAAATAATCAAATAAATAAATAATGAAATACATAAATAAATCAGCAAATAAATAATTCTGCAAAATAACCTAAACAATAAGCCACCCAAACAAATTGCAACCTATAAAACTAGAAAAAAATTTTTTTGTTTTTGATACTTTTAAATAAGCAAATGTACACAAACTAGATCAATCCTGGAAATATCTTTCAATGCTATTATAAAATCCTTAATTTTAAGAACGTATTTTCAATTTTTTAAATAACTGCATAGGATGCATTCTCATCATGATTATATCTTCCTCTACATTTCACAATTGCTATTTTTAACATTTTCTTTCAAACAGCTAGACACTTGGAATGTTCTTCACTTACAGTTTTTTCTCACAAAGAGATACTTAACGATGTACAACTGCTACAGCCTTTCTGACAGTTTTTCTATCTTCACCAAGTCAGTAGAAATGTTCTGTAGGGCAAGAGAACAATAGATGACATTTATTTAATTCATTAGTGAATAATGATTCATAATCTTACAAAATAACAACAGTAGTAGACAGCACTCATTAACTCTGTAAAGGTTTTTAAAATCTTTAGTGGACTCAGTTCAATCAGAGTCAATCCTTCTCTATTGGAGTTGACACACAAGCTGTTATAATTGGCAGGATTTCAGATATGACAATAAAAAGTTAGAAGGACAAAGTGACTGGCTGACATCAAATGCTACCCTCAATTTGGGAAGTTCACAGTTCTTTAAAGAACACAGTGGGATCACTTAAATGCTACTGTCTCAACAGTTACAATCTAGTCGACCATAAGACATCAGAACACAAATGGCCCCAAAATAAGCCATCATTCATCTTAAGATTTTACCTTTAAAGTATAGTATTCTTAAAATCTGTAAGTATATCTCAAACGACAGCTTTTCCTATGGATATATAAACTTTGTGACAGGTTTTGGCATATTTAAGGTAATAAATTCAAAAGATAAAATACAGCCTTTGAGGAGAAGAAAACTAACATAAATCAAAATATTGTATTTTATATAATTTATCTTACCAAATTCTTTTTTGGGGGATAACAGGGTTCAAACTTGGGACCTTGCACGTGCCAGGCAGGTGCTTATGCCACTGAGCTATCTTCTCAGCCCTATCTTAAAAAATTCTTACAATAGCCTCTCAAGTTAGATAATTTTTTCTCTTTTACAGTCAAGGCAATTTAGATTCAGGGCAATTTAGATTCAGGGCAATTTAGATTCAGGGCAACTATACAGACCAAACATAGTGTCCAAGGAGCAGGAAAGATTCAATCTCTGGTCTGTATATCTTCTATGTGAAGATTCACTGAACTATAAATTTGGACTCAAGCAAAAGCACAGAGAGGGCTGGTGAGATAGCTCAGCAGACTAAGTGCCTGCTTTAGGCAAGAGTAGGGAACAGGTTTTGATTCCCACCACCACAGGTCATACCGGTCCTGCCCCTGTGTGCACTAAACCAGCAACAGAGACTGGGTGTGGAGGCACATGGTAGTAATCCATTGCTGGGGAGGCTGAAAACATGAGGAACACTGTGAGTCTGAGCTGTGTAGTGAGACCCTGTACCAACTACAAGGAAGAAAGGAAGGAAGGAAGGTAAGAAGGAAGGAAGGAGTCCAGCTATAAGAATGTGGTTCTTTTTCTTTTTGTTTTTTAACTAAAGAAGGAGGAGAAAGTTTTCTGAGGTAAATTAGAAGCAAAGGACTGCAATGGAAAATGAGAGACATACACAGATTCACTAAGACATTCAATGAAGAATGTTTATATTAATAAAAATGATGGAAAACCTACATTTTCAACAAGAAGTTAAATAATTTAAGAATAATTTTAAAAGAATGCTATGTAGTCACTATTAAATTTAAAAATTTTATTGAAAATTGTATAGACATGGAAAAAGTATTAAAGTTCTTTAAAAAATTAAAAATAGAGCTATTATCTGATCCACCAATTTAATATTGGTTGTATATCCAAACAAAATCAGTTATGTCAAAAATATATCTACACTCCAATGTTCATTGTAGCACTGCTCACAAAAACAAGAAAGGAAAACAACCAAAGTGCCCCTTATCTAATGAGTACTAAGGGTTATATATACACACAGTGAAATACTATGTGTCCATAAAAAAATAAAATATCTCATTTATAGCATAGATGGACCTGATGTTAGGTAAAATAAGCCACACATAGAAAGAAGTACCATATCAACTCCCTCAGACATGAAATCTGAAAAAGTTGATTTCATAGAGATTGAGAATAATATGGTAGTTATGGGAGGAGATGGAGAACAGAAAGAAAAGAGGAATGACAAAATCTTGATACCAGTTACTATCAGACAGCAACAAGAAGTTCTGGTAAGCTACTGCACAATAAGGTGAATACAGGTAAGTTCTGGCCCGAGTACAAACGGCTAAACTATCATGGCTCTGATCCAACATGGCTGAATCCCCAAAACAACAACTTATCTTCCTAATGACCACTTCCCCCTTCTTCCCTGCTCCAGCCCTGGATACAACTTCCTTTTACCTTTCCCATGCACAAAAGGGAGCTCCCAATCAGCTCGTCGTTTTGTGCGTCACTGAACCTGCTCCTCAAACTCTGCCCTTAGCAAAGGTCCATAAAGTCTCAGCCTCCCAGTCTCAAGCCAGAGGATCCTTCCACCTCCCTGCCCTGGATCCTTTCCATGTCTTCCGAGTTAATAAAACCCGCCCCCCTTTACTTCTTCTTTTCTGCCACTCTGCTACCATTAATAAAAACAAATAAGGAATTTGAAAGTTTTATAATAAAATATATTTGAGTAGATATGCTTAACCTAAACATTGCACAATGTATACATGTATTCAAATAATCTTACACCATTAATATGTACAAATGTTATGCATTTATGTATCACTTAAAAAAGGGCGTGGGTTAGGGGTGTGGCTCAGTGGTAGAGTTCTTTCTTTGCACACACAAGGCATGAGGTTCCGATCCTCAGCACCATAAAAACACAGTGAGGGGGCTAGAAACTTCCAGCTCAGTGTACAGCATTCCCCTATAATGTGCAAAGTCCTGGATTAAATGAACCCTAACACTACAAAAAACAACTGATGTAATTTTTAAAAAAACTATACATGATTTGAATACAGTCTGGACAAAGGAATAAAATATTTTAAAAATGCTTTAAATTACAAGGAAAAGTGTCTTTTTGAATTAAAGAAATATACATATTGTATCAGAAGGATGTTCTTTAGATCAATTATACTTAAAATCTGTGTGATGACCTACACAAACACAAATGGAATGGAGAAAATGTCTTTCCTGTCTTTTTTAACAAACTCTACAGAACATATCAATATAAATCAAATTTTGAGAAGTATTCAACTGGAGGAAAAAATACTGTACAATTAAAGCAAATATCTAACATTTAACATCAATATAAAGAAATGCTCATAAGTCAATAATATAGGATATTCATGATATATTAATATTTACAAATATACCATATTGTATGGTCTGAGTGCATGTTTCTGTGTATAATGTACATTGTCCCAGTCTTTCTCTAGACAGACATATGGTGGTCTATGTTTACACATACACATATAGATATGATGGGCTATGTTTATACATACATGCTTATTATCTATCTAAAATTATATACTGTCATATATTTAAATATGGAAAACATTGACATTAAACAAAACTGAAGAAAATGAAATTAATTAAAATGATAATAGTGGGGCCGGAGAAATAGCTCAGTAGAATAAGTGCTTGCTTGGCAAGCCCAAAGACCTGAGTTCAATCCCTGATTCCGCCAAAAAAAAAAAAGCTTAGCTGTGCTCTGGGGAAGTATCACGTTTTTCTCCGTATTTCGTTACTTTTTAACTTTTCTACATGAACCATATGATTCTAATGATTACTATGAGCCAACATCAGGAAGCAATCTGGTACCCTACACAAATGGATGAAGTCAGGCTTCAATTTATTTTATTGCTTAAATTCACTTATTTTAAAAAAAGAATAAGGGGCTGGTGAGATGGCTCAGTGGTCTAAAGCACCTACTTAGAGCAAGCTTGGCAAAGCACAGGGACCGCGGTTTGATCCCCCAGCACCACATGCCAGCCAGCCCTGCCCCCTGGTGGGCTGGTCTGGCTACACACACACACACACACACACACACACACACAAATAAATAAATAAAATTTAAAAAAAAAGAATAAAAAAGTATGAATAGTCTTTAACAGAGATTCTTTTCCAATGCAGCAAAACACACATTTTTCCTTTACTTCGTAGCAACAACCCAACTCTCTCTGCTCAACTTATATTCAACTTACTTGCATTCACATATCATGTCTGTCAGCTTTGTACAAGTTGATCATAACCAGATGTTACATCCATCAAACTCTTTATTGGGACATATGATTACTTTGCTCATCTGACTCTGTGAAACTTGACATTTGTCCTTCATTTCTATAAATTCTTCTTTATCTCTTGGATATTAAGAAAAACTGTGTCCTGCTATACATTTTTCTGGTGACTTCTACAGAAGGCACACATAACAAAGATTACATCTTGCATTTTTATAATTACTTTGCAATGTCTTGAATTTTCTGGATTACTGGATATACACAAAATTATACTGTGGGTATTGATTCTGTTATGCAAGTGTCAAAATTATCACCATTAATAGACTCATAATTTACAACACTGCAAAGTTTTCTCTACGTTTTCTAATATAATCCAATTTCCTAAATAACCATCATGCCATAAAAAAAAATTAAAAATGAAAAAGAAAATTAATATATTTTAAACTACTAATAAGTAATAAACAAAGTAGTAATGAAAAAACAAAACATCATTCCAGGCCTTCCACAGCTTGGAAGGTAAGACACACATGCATTTCCCATAGAAAATCCAGAAGATAAAATGTCACAGTGGACCAGGATAGTCAAAAATGGATCCTTGACTAAAACCAAAATCACATACAGTTAGGACAGTAGCTGTCACCCAAAGGATATATTACTCTTAAGAAATGTGTGGCCATGTCTGGAAATAGTACTTCTACTTGTCACAAATAGGAGTTATTAGCCAAGTATAGTAGCTCATATCTATAATCTGTAATCCTAGCACTCAGGAGGCTGAGGTAGGAGAATCTCTAGGAATATGATGACAGGCTTAGCTACATACTAAGTTGAGTCCAACCTGAACAGCACAGCAAGAAAATCTCAAAAACAAATCAAAAAACCAAAAAAACCTGTCGTAAATAAAACGAAAAAAAGAAAAACAAAATGGAAGGTATTGTTTGCAGCTGTTCAGTGTTACCATTTGTCCAGTGATAACAGGATGCTAGGCTGCTAAAACACAAATGCCACTCGACTTCAGCTGGACTTGTTCAGGAAAGTGCAGGATCCAGGCACTCAACTGGATTCTTTAGGTCTCTTAAGTGTGGACAGATCTCC